TTTTTTCATTAAAAAATATGTAAGTTGTTCCGGAACAAGGAAATAGTCAATAAAATCTGCTCTACTGTGCCAAAAGAGCCTGCTTATTTCATGGACATATTCGTTTATCTGACCAGTTATTGCGAAATCGTCTTTTGCCTCTTTTCTTTTGATTAGAATCTCGTGAACCTTTTTATGTACGAAGAATGAGTACATGAAGGGGGGATTTTGCTCAGCTCGATGGGCATCCATATATATATATATATATATGTAGAATTGTTGCCAATTGTGTAACAATGGATCGGCATTTTGATGAGTTCAACAATGGAAACATAGAAGCCGAATTCAAAGGCGGGAGACAATCGAAACAATGCAGGCATAGAATGCCAAAATCAAAGAATTTTCCCAATTTTCCCAAACGAACAATCGAGAATCGTGAGTTTCCCGATTAAGTGGGCAATTGAGGTTCGCTAATCGACACTTAGGTCTATAATCGTGCTATTAAATTGGGTTCGGCTGCTAGCCTGAGATCCCCTTTGTGGTCATCCTCTTAGATTCGACCAATCACATTTAGTTTTGCTCGTGACGTTATGCAGTTAAAATTGGTTCTGCACGTGCATGTTGAACGGTAGCCAGAATAGATCAGAAACTTCTCGTAATCGAGAGTGGTGCTTTCATCTTGTCAAGCGTCAACGTAATTAGACGTATAATTTGCAATTTGCTATGTAGGATACAAAAGAAAGTGCGGGAATATGCGATTTCACGAGTTTCTGCAAGAATTAACTTTCATGCATGAGTCGTGAAAAATATATTGCAAGTGTTTCAAATCTGTTTAGTTTTTCGCAAGTTTTGCAAAGTCGGTGAAAGTTATTCGAAGATTTCCAGGCTTTGCGAAATTGTCACAAAATGCTTGCAGGGACTTTTCAATTTTCTCTCGGATTGATCAAAAATTCATTCGAAATTTTTCAGACCCCATATTTTTTTAAAAGAAAGGGTCAACATGTTGGATAAGATAGTTTGGTGCAGGAATAACGTAACAAAAATAGAAATTTGGATCGTGTGAGGTCAGACCAACAGTTACGGGAATAATCAATTAATAATCTTGGGATCTGTGACTACATTTCTTCATCAAATAGTTGAATTGCCGAGTTGAAGAAATCTTTGCACTCGCAACTAGGAAGTTTACGAAATTAAAAGTTTGGCTGCTCACAATTACGTACGAAAGATTCCCCTTCGTAATCAAGTAATTGCACTGCCGCGAGATCATTATGCTGGAACCGTTTTGTCAGCGCGGGTCGTTAGGGATCGTTAGGCACGCATCGATTTCTCCTTCTTGCAAAGGTTGATAGTGGAATTCAAAGATCGGGTTTGGTAAACTTACTGCGTCATAGCATTCCCCGCTGTTTATCAAGAAAGTGTAAATCTGCGAAACGCATTTTGAAAAAGCAACCGAATAAGAATAATTATTCGTGTTATGTTATCAAGCAAAAAATGTCCTTCGTCAAATAAAAAAACAGATTCCCAGTTAGGTTCCACTCACAGAGCCCCAATAAATGAGTTCTGTAATCTTGGCGAGTCATAGCTCATGCCACCGTTTTTTAGGTATTTTAAGTCTGTGAATCGCAATCTCATAGAGCATAAAGGTTCTTAGTTGTCTGGGAAACAAACTGGAAGCGCATCTAGAAAAGTTCAGACTTTTAATACATTTGGAATCTTCGTTGTCGTCATCATTGTCATCGTCGTCATCATAATCATCATCATCATCGTCGTCATCATAATCATCATCATCAATCATCATCATAATCATCAATCATCATCATCATCATCATCATCATCATCATCGTCAACCTTCATCATCATCAGTTTTGTCCACATCGCCAATTCATAATATCGAAGTACCATTCCTCCACATTCTTCGTACATTGCAAAAGCCGTGCTATTTTTCTTAATTGAGATAATTGACTGCCCAAAGGTTTCGCGCAATTTATATACAGATTCACCATTAGCCAAACCATGGTACACCCTCCTACTCAGAATCATCAAAGCAGAAAGTCGTTCAGACAATTCGTCGTTTGACAACGCAATGTCATTATCGCAGGCATGCGAAAAGTAATCTAGATATGATGCTATTCCATTTTTATGTACGAAGAATGAGTACATGAAGGGGGGATTTTGCTCAGCTCGATGGGCATCCATATATATAGATATATATATATATATATATATATATGTAGAATTGTTGCCAATTGTGTAACAATGGATCGGCATTTTGATGAGTT